CAGATAATTGTAATATTAACCTAAGATGCACTTTATGTAAATATTATGCTAACATCAACGTTTTAGCATTGCAAATATGAGTATGTTAGCATTTAGCTTAAAGCAGAACTCTGACTACAGTAGGCTGCCAGAGGCTGTATGACTGCAGACTCTTGTTTTCTTATTAATAAGTTCATCCATGTGTGAAGGAAAGCAGCATGGTGTGAAACTTCCCACTTTTTCCAGGTCACCTGAAGTCCTCATCAGATTACAATCCTGAGTTATGTTGTAAATGCACAATAGGCAGCAATAACCGTGAATGATTTCCGATTTTTAATTTTTATTTTTTTTCAGCCCTGGTCACTGTGGACTACTGTCTGCTCACCATTCCATTTAAATAGCTTTTTTTCCCCAGTGGTGGCTATAACAGCATAATAACAGTGAAAGTGTTTGCACTTTACAGAGATGGCTTTAAAGTCTTTGAAAACATCCCCATAAAACAACAGAGCACTAATGGATTGAACTTAGCCTGTCGAGACGTCTTTTAGCTGCTTGCAGACTGCAAGACTGTATTAAGACCTCCCTAAATGGATGGCAAAGAGCAGGGATTTGCGATTTAGAGATTCCTTCAACTTTTGATGGCTATAGAAACAGATATTCATGATTATGTGCATAATGATTAATTACTGCAGAGCTCTGTTGAGTGCTTTTCAATACATGGGAAATTGTGTGTGAGTGACAGTTTTATTGATCAGAGCTGTGAAGATAGTGTGTGTGTGTGTGTGTGTGTGTGTGTGTGTGTGTGTGTGTGTGTGTGTGTAAACTGCAGTTGGTAAGTAATGCATTCAATTCTGTGGAAAAAATGGCATTGATTTGTTGTTTGAAGTACCTCTAAGTAGTGACAAAAGGGTGTGACAGTCATGCATCTGTCATAATTAAAGTCCTTCTCTGTTGTAACACTCATTATTCCTCATGCAGCATATAATTTCTGCTGCAGAAAACCTTTTACACATGTGCACGATCATTTATTTATTCATCATAACAGTGTGCCGTGCAGACTTTGTGCATTATACATGGTTCATGTTTTTATTCCTACCACCTCTGTCACAACTATTCAACCAGAGGAAAAGAACACCGGTTACCTGACATCAACTCAGATCTGCGTATTGATCGAGCCGCCTATGAACAATCGTGCACCTGTCATACACACGGGTTTAACATTTCTGTCATGATTGATTTTATTTATGAAATTCAGTCACCTTATGATCTGAAAGAGCCTTTCCACTCTTACACATGTTTGACAATCTGTCAGGGTCCACAGTGTGTACCTGTGATCAATAGTGTGCAGCAAAGAGCAATTACAGAAGGCTGGGAGTAAATGGGGAAAAGAGAGGCTGGGTAGTGCTATGTTTACTGGATGATTTCTACCTGCGGTGACACCAGGGCTCAAGGGATGGTGTTGGTCTGTCAGTTGGTTCACTTTAATCCTAACTGAAATACTTCAACATTTATCAGAAATATTGCCATGAAACTTTTAAAATCCCCACAGGATTCCTGCTGATTTTGATGTTCTCTCGGTTTTTCATGCAGCATTATTAAATTAACTTTTGAGACTGTGGGTCAAATATCCCAACAAATGTTGGATGGATTCCCTTTAAAAACACACACACACACACACACACACACACACACACACACACACACA